GATTTTACCAAAATACGATATACAGGCACATGGCTGTAAAATAACTTTAAACCAATTCACTATAAAATTACTTTTGGCAATAAATAATCTGATTCTCAAGAGAGGCGAAACACTCCCTTGACCCGTTGCGGGTGGGCTGAGGCAGAGCTCCTCTGCATTCCCCCATCGCTCCCTCCCTCTCCCACCCGCGTGCCCCTCATCCTGCACACTGCGCCTTGGCCAGGGCAGAAGCCACTTGTGCTTTTTAGCCAGCAAGAGGCCGAACCCTGCTCCTAACAAGTCACTTACAACTGAGAGGTGATATTAAACACGTGCCTAAAGAAATCTGCAAAGTCAGCGGGGCAGATACTCACAATAGGCTTTTATTCCTGAAGGAACAGCAGCTGTTACTAGTGCTGGTGAGATCTGCGCTGCTCCGGGGGCTCCTCGGGGCCAGCAAGCTCCACTGAAGTTTGCTCTCAACGTGAACAAAACAAGGATCTTTAAGAGCAGAACATCTACGCGTGCATCTGGGCAGCTGGCACATTAGTCAGTGAATAGGAATGGAGAGACGCTCCTTAATCCCCCAAAAGATCTGGCAAATTCAGAAATCTTGAACTAAATCTCCTCTGTCTTGGCAGAGTAATGGTTTGGAGGAAGAAAAAAAAAAAAAGCTTACTTTCACTCCTAAATATAAAGCAGATACATAGGTCTGATGTGCTCCTCCCCTGCTCCATTTGTGGGCATCCAGATCTTCAAAGCACTTGCAATACATTTGGTCACAGAAAGAGTATTGCTCTAAAAGTCAAAGATACTAAAAACATAGAGCCACCTCAGGAACATGTAAGCTCTGCTCTGGAGGTCCTCACCTCTGTGCCAGTACCCCTCACACAGAGGCCGACAGCAGCTAGTAGCACAGAGCAGCCTTCAGCTCTGCACGTGAGGTTTTTTTCCCCTTGTTTGTAAGATTACTCTCGCTGTTACTGCCCACAGAGCTCCCTCAGTCCCAGGACCTCCAGCAGCCACCACAACCGGCCACCAACACTGAGCAGTCACCTAACAGGGACCGGGCAGGACTACACGAGGGCTCTGCCACTGCTATCATTGGTGAGCCGTACTCAGAACAGCTACTGAAGAATCAAACATAGATAAAGCTTTTACAAAAGAAGCCTCAAGACAAAAAAGTTGTGGAGACAGATTCCAAGCTTTTGAGCTTTCAGGAAGAAGCAGACTTGAAGCATAGCATGGAGTTACAGCACAGGGAAGGCAGCAGGGCAGGGGAGGTGCTTCACAACAGCATGCCAGGGATGAATCTTGGAGCGGCACTTTCATCCCATCCTTACAGGAGAAGCCTGACCAGAGCTACTAAGTTGTAGCTTTTGAAGATGATTATCTGAAGCCTAATTTCCTGTCGTCGTCCCCCCCTCTATTTCCTATGATCCTTAAAAGACATCTCTGCACATCTCCCCTGGGAATAGTCTTGAGGGGTTTAGTAAGTCATGACTTGACGGATGCTATTCTGATGAACTACTCAAACAAACCGTCCTGAAACTTCTCAAGCAAGCACTCCAGGGAGCAAGTCCAGTCTGCACAGCTCACACAAGTTAGCGCTCCATTTAGCTTGTGCATGAAGCAAAATGATACATCGCATCCCAAAAGTAATCAGAACACAGAGCATTAAAGACTCATAACCCTGTATTCCCCTCTTATCATTTTGATAAGTCAAAGGGGAAAAACCAAAAGGCCGCAGCAGTAACTTTGGCTGGATGTTCTAAAGCCAGCTTGAACAGGAGCACAGACAGAGGTGCCTATGGTGGGAACAGGATTTGTCTGAACATAGCACATGCAGAAGTAGGGAGCTAGGCAATCGTCGTCCAGTAAGGACATGTTCAGTCCAGGTCATGTTCTCCCCTCAATGTATTACGTACAGAATGTATCCCTTTAATTCGGTATTGCCTGGTGGTGGCAAGTCTTCTCCACTAACATAAGCGATAAAGATATATGGAGAGACGGAGAGCGAGACAAGAGGGAAAGCATTAGGCCTGAGAAGAAAAGCATTTGTTCTCTTCTCACTTAAAAACAGTTCAGTCTTTGCTTCGCTTCCACACTGAGGACTGCTAGATACATAAACCAAGTATTTTTTCAGTACATACGAGCATACATCAAGAAGGCACCTACGACCATAGCACACAGCACACAGTAGCACAAGTTTAGAATGACTTAAGTTCAAACAAGACAAGTGTTTACTTGGAGGGGAAAATCTCAAGTGTTTTCATCTTGAATGTAGTTGCTTCGGGTGGGAAGGGAGGGGACTGGCTCAAAATCCAAGACCAGGTATTCATCCTATCAACAGCTACAGCAGAGGGTATCAGCCTTTTGCTTACAATTTCGTGCTCCTACTGACGTAACAGGAGCACGAAATCCTTATCTTTGAATATCCCTGCCAGCAGTGTACCTTCTGAACCAAAGATCAGTAGGTAAGAAGAGAATGAGGGGCCTCAAGAAAGAATTTTTGACTTGGACAGTCATCGTTGCTAAGTTCAACTTCTGAACTACTTTTCAAGACCTTATGTTCTCCTGCTACATCCGAGCTTTTTCAGGTTTTTTGTTTTGTTCTTTAAAAAGTGCATTCTCCTCTGATTAGCTCTACCATGGTAAGAAGCAAACAGAACCTCTTCTTAGGGCTGCAAGGTGGATTAGAAGCCTCTCAGGTCACAACCGAGGACTCCTCGCTTCAGCCCAGCTGAACTGAAGACTGGGTCCATCAAGGCTTTCCCAGTCCGTTAACAAGCAACGTCCCACAGAGGTTCACCAGCCCACACTAACGGCATCATCGTCACTCCAATGCTTAGAAGTAGCATACTATTTTCCAGATACATGGAACCAAAATGAGAATAGCTTCATCAAAGCAAAAGCTAAAGCAAAATAAAAGCATTTGGTTGGAAAGCAGTGAGCTGGGGAAAACTGAATTCCCCTTTTCCATGCAAGTTGAACACTGCTGGTGGAGGAGCAGCAGGCAGGGTAACAGATAACCCATCTCTCACTCGCTGCTGCATTAAAGGCTTTCTGTATACAATCCTGTGTTTAAATAACTGGGGACCTCCTACCAGAAGGAAAGGCAGATCATCAGCTTCACAGTTAAGAATACATGAATCTTGTTGCTGTAATACATACAGGAGTACTCATTCCCCTGGCTAACTGAGGCCTCCTGTACCCGAAATCAGTTACGAATTATTTCAAGGTCCAAGTGCAAGTCCCTGGAAACAGCGAATTACAATGGCAGAAGAGCCATGACCTTTACTACAACTACTAATGATCTGCAACACCTTGTGGAACACACCCAAAATGGCGTATGTGTGTATATATAAATTTTGTATATAGACATTGTACTGTTTCATTCTTTTTAATACATATACAAGTACCTGTACATATATACATATTTACAATTTACACCAGCCAGTAGATGTATGCGTATTGTACATATACACACAAACGCCTAGAATACACATGCACACACACAAACACACACTCGTCAAAATAAACTCCACGTCCCAGGTAACAAAGTCCTGCCATAGTCCAAAGAAGAGCAGCACCAAGTGGTGGGGGGCTCAATATACCAGCTTCAAGACTGCTCAGAACAAACACTAGCATTCACGGAATTTTTTACACTTGGGAAATTAAAGAATGGATGGCATAAGCTTCAGCCCAGCCACAAAGAACCTTCATGCAGACTTCCCAGCTACACTCCAGCAATTCTTGCTGTTCCATACTGTGCTCTCTTCGGCTGAACGGGGTCCATCAGTGCTGATCTGCTGCCCTTCACTATTCCGGCTGACTAGCTCATACCTTGTATGATGGCATTGCAAACAGGCCTACCATGATACGATGGTAGTCACCAAGTTCTGCATTTTTTCCACCTAAAAACAGAGGCATAGCTGGGGTTCAACATAAAAGCACCAATTAGACTTGTCCTCTCCCTTCTGTTCTAGCAGCACATGGAACAGTGAAAATGGACTTTTTCATTGAACAGTTTTAAATATTTTTGGTTCCTTCTCCTTGCTCACACCTGCACTGTCAGGAGCTGAAAGAGGTCCTCCAGCTCTGCAAGGAAGGCAGTACAGTCCAAATGAGTCAGCAAGCACTTTTCCCAGCAGTCAGAATAGCCTTCTCCAGCAAGTGCCTTTACAAAGGCCACCCTACTCCGTAACGTACCCAGACTGAGCGTTGTGGGCTGAGGGAACACATAGCGCGGCCACACGTAATTACAGCCCCTCAGTTTTACTGGTTCAAAGATAGGACTGAGACAGGACTGGTGGGCATGCAAAACATTAACAGGGATTTGTGGCAGCACCCACTTTGTTTAACCTGCAAGAGGAGCATCAGCGTCTCTCCTAGGGCATAGGGAACCAGCACAGATGGCTCAGATACAGGAGTGACAGGAAGGGCTCGTATTCAGCACTATATGGGACATTTTTTCAGCTCCTATCAGGGATGGTAACACTGCGGGAGCCACACGTTCCATCCACACACAGAAAGGAGGGATAACACCTGCTGGAAATGTAAGAATTTCTATCTAGTACCTCAAAATGAAGAATGTGCCCTCCTCCTGGAAAATTGTGGCAGCAGCACAAATGGCAAGATGACCCATATTAGAGTGAGAGATGGGGGTTAGCTTTCTTAGTTTCGTAATGTGTTCATCTGCTAACCATCTACCTGATCAGGCAGAGTGGAAGTTGCATCCTTGGCCAGCAGTACACAGTTTATATATAAAATTGCTGCGTCAAATTTATAGGGAGCATTAAGTATCTTCACAACCTCACTTCAAACCCACTGCTCCAAATGCAACTTAATTGTCCACAGTTTTGTCTACTTACTTGCCTAAGGCTGAAAAAATATATTTGTTATGAAGGACTCTGTTTTATTGCTATTGTTGGTTTGCACTGTGTGGTTCCATTTTTACCATTTCAAATCCAGACTCTTTGGGGATAAAATATTGTTTTTCTATTGATTTTTTCCAATTTCTTAAAATTGTATAAAAATAAAGGATTTCCACAAATGTGGGCTAAAGGTAACCAATAATACTTCTATGCTTAGGATCAGCTGTTGGAAATGTGGTTGATAGCCACAAGACCAGAAATAAACCTCTAGTGATTCTTTAGTTTAACATTTAAAAGACATGAAAACTTCTGCTTATAAAATTGACCCCGTACAGAATGGAACAGCTAAACTAACAGCTGTTTATTATTACTTTTTAAAATAATGGTCCTAAATTTAAAAATAAAATCAAGTACTTCCTTTTATGATTTTCACATTATAAAACTGCACCATTCAAAATCTGTGGCCAGGGGAATCCCTTTGCAGTACGACAGTTTCTTTTAATAGTCATCGAGGGTGTTTTCCAGGAAAACATTCCTAACATCCAGTATGGAAGCCAGCTCCAAAATGTGCTTTTGGAGGTGAGGGTTCTCCACCGTTTCATCTCTTGGCAGCTGAGGATAAGATTCTGGATAATTTCGAGTCTCCTGCTAGATGACAGCGAAAACAAAGAGAATCAGACATTCATTTATTTTTACACCCTTTACGAAGAAGATTGCAAAAGGCCAATTTCACCTCAGAGGTATCCTAATCTGTTTAGCATGCCACACAGAGAGAAAACATTCTAGCATTTTCAGTCTCCTCTTTCCATTGACTCAGAGATAGTCATACTGGCCATACAAATGCCCATTCATCTACGATGGTTAATAGTATGTTCACAGAAGCCTTGCAAAGAAAAAAAAAAGTGTGGAAAAAAAAAAAGACAGGAGGACTTCAGATACTTACCTACTAGGCTAGAATTCCTTTCTTGAAATTATAGACATGTAAGCATCTCCAGTGGGAGATTCATCTCATCCTAAAACAAATATCTAAGACATCGGTGGCAAGTCTACCCCCACTAACAGAAGACCTGCTTCTTTCCCTGATATCAAAGCAGCTTAAGGTAGCTAACTTAGGCTTGGAAAGCTACTGGGTGTCTGCAGTTAGACGAGATGAATGCTGTACCTTTCTGTGCTTCACCTTCCATTTTTTTTCTGCAGTGTTTAAAATGGAGCAGGCAGTTTATATGCCAACACATATATAAAATGGTGTAGATCCAGAAGCAGACTTCACTGTTGGCACAGCATTAACCAACAGGGAGGGAAAATACCATCTTCCTGTTTAGCTTATTCATTTACACTTCAAAGATCTTTCAAAATCCATTCACACTAGAATACATTCCAGCAGTAACATTCCATTCCTCCCCACTTCCTCTTATATTCCCATTCTACACCTTTTTAGTTGTGTAGAAATAATAATCTTGAATTATTAAGAGGAATTTTTCTAGCAGACAAGGCTGTTCAGAGTGACATAAATGAATTAGAGCGTGTCTGCTACTTATGCAGAGGAGTAAGGCTTCAGCAAGTCAAAGGCTTCATGCCTTTGGAGAGATACAAAGGCACAGATTCACTACAAGCTGTAGGCATTAGCATGTGAGCATCACTTATCTTTCTGAAGTCACAGTGATATGCTCAGCCCTAAGACCCTTCCATCCTGAGGCAGTGCAGTTCTTTATGCATTGGGTTGTCACTCTCACAAAGGGATAGATATCCCTGCATACCCGGAAAATTTTGTGCATCCTCATAGTAGCCGAACAGAAGATAAATCTTGTTAGAAGCAAGCGAAGAAATTCATCCCCAAAAAATTGAAGAAAGGACTGATCTGTAGAGAAGGCAAAGAAAACTCAGTTTAGAAAGGCTCAAAAAATTAAGAAAAAAAAGAAAAATAAGACTTGGGGGAAACCACTACGAATTATTGTGCATTCCCCTTATTCACTATTCTGTCCCTTGGAAAGGCTGAGCAAGAAAAAAACCCAGCATCCACTTGAGTAGCATGCTAAGGTTCAGTTGTGCATCATTAGGCACGTACCTATGGACCGGGAGTGAGTCAGCAGCTGGGCAATATCTCGGTTGATTTTTCTAAGGTAATCTTGACACTTCTCCCACAATCCTCTGCGCATGCTTGATAATCCAGAGACAAAAAGGAATGCCAAAAAAGGTGGTGAAAAGGCTCCCCCCGTGGAACGATTTAAAAAAAAAAAAAAAAAAAAAGAAGTCAATAGACAAAAATACATTTGGCACATGAAACAGAAAAGCTGTCCCTGCCACAGAATGAAGTCGCTCATCCACTAAATTCTGCAACAGAGAAACTACTCCTTTGTGTTAGTTACATCTTCTCTGCTCTTGTGGCAGATCTGTTCTCAAGATGATGCAATGACTACCAATAAAGGCTTACTGGAGAAGTGCATTAACACCAAGAGAAATGAGATTTTCTCATGAATTGTGGGAGGCCTATGTCTTCATTTTGAGCACATAACTTGAACACAAAAGTCATAACTGAAACAACCGACAGAAGATACTGATTATAAATCCTAAAGAGAAGTATTAAACATGGACATTCTTATTCCATTATAAACCCCAGGCAGTTGAACCTATACACCCCCCAAACTCTACAGAGTTGCCCTTTTGTTGGGCATCACAATATCCTAAAGCCCATTTACTCCATGCAGTTCAACATGATACACAGAGGTCCAACCTTCATCTCAATCAACAGGGAAGTCAAAAAGAAAGGCAATGCACATAAGATCATGTACCTAAATAGTAAGGCCACTCCCTCATCAGCAAGGATTAGTGACTGGTTTTGGTGCATTTGGGGTTATTTTTCAGGACTCAGCCACGCAGCGCACACGGTATAATGCCACACTGACACAGTGGCTCAATTAGGTTCAGCTACGAAGTCTCCACCCAGTGCTCCAGTGCATGGTGTAGCACTCCCTCAGAACTACAGCAAGAGTTTCCTGACTGGTCCATGAACACAATATAAGCATCCAGTATTTTATAAAGTTAGTTTTATTTTTCAGTTTCTGTTTAAACAGGATTCATTATTACAGTACTTATTTTCTACTTAAGTTTCAGCTAAATAACAGGAGTAGTTTCAAAACAAATGAGAAGCTTCCACTTCTTGCACATTCTTTCATATGTGCCGCACATCATTCTTACGTGGCTTAAGCTAGACCTTCGTACTTGTCTTTGTGATGGATAATAACCTTAACATGCCAAATTCCAATGAGAAAGTCTGGAATGATTTATATTTTATAGCAGTCACAAAGACTGTAGAACGTGACATTTCATTGCTTGTTCCTACAATAAATGCACCTTCTCAGGGCGAGCAAAGCCAACAGCTTTCCTTAACTTACCCTCCAAAATCAGAACAAGAGAATATTTTGCTCTACACCTGGCATTTAAAAGCTGATACCTTAACTGATTCTGCTTACTTTCTAGGACTAATAAAGCTACCCAGAGTGCTAATCATCATCATCATCCCAGCACTGGGCTGGCAATTTTCTGAGTCTCCATGTAGGAGAGACTTCGCCTCCTAGCACTTGTTGAAGCTATCTGTAGAAATATCATCATTGTTAGAATAGATGATTTGCCATAAACAGTAACTAAACTTTATCGTACTACTTCAGGGAATGTTAAGATGATTTAGGGATTACATAGTGATGAAAAGCTACCTTTTCCTCAACAATCTAAGTTATATTTGTTTGGGATAGATACATGGTGCAACTGCAACTTGTTAGGAAATGCAATACTACACATACCTTGTAATGCTTTTGGATATGCTGTTGGAGAAAGCAAGCACACCAATGGTTGTCCAAATAAGTTTGTGAAATTCTGTAACAGATAAGAATTTTGAAGTATTGATGGTCACTTTGCTTGCTTTTGAATATTCAACAGGTTAAGGGTACAAACAGAGACTATTAATGACAGAGAACACATTAATGCCTGTCACACAGTTCAGCATTGGCAGTAAGGCTGACAAGTTGACTTACTCATAGGTCACAGCACAGAAGGAATATAACCCATTACATTTTAAAGGAATTGAAATCCTCTCATTTCACTGCTGCTGGTAGCAGACACTAATTTCATGGAAATATGGCTTTCAGTAGTAATATATTACTTGGAAAAAAATCATGTTCTGCAGTAAAAGTGAAAGCCATTGGCTTTCAGGTCAAAATAGATCTAGCGTCTTTTCTCAATAGCAACTGAACTATCCAAAGTAATTTCTTCTCCTTTTCTTTCTAGGAGGAACTATTGCTGATGAAACAGAAGAGCCCAGTGGAGAAAAGTTTTAAAATAAGTTTCCTTTAAAGCAAGTATGTCATAACCTTAATGTCTGCTATACTGAGCCCTCATTTTACAATACTCATTTGATGCACCTTCCACCAGCACCTTAAATATTGCCCAAGTGTCCTGTTGAACAAGAATTTCTCCAGAAACCTCAAACACCACCACTGTCCAGTTTCATCAACATTTACCTGATAACAGTCCTACTGTGTATCTGTCTAGTAGGTATACTGCTTAGTAATAATTATCACCAGGGAAAAAAAAAAAAAAATTATACAACCTCATTAGCTGTCACGTGTCTCACCAAAACAGCTTTCTTAAAAATGACGGCTTGCAAAGCCATAGAAAGTGTAAATAGTCATGTCTGCATCCTATCAGAGCACACACTGAAACCACGCATCCAGAGCATGAGTGCGACACACGTCTACAGATGATATTCTTAAAATCACCAGGTTACAAGTGTAAGGTATACATCACCAGAAGTATTTGCCTGTGTAGAATCATCAAAACCCTAATTTTTTAATTCCTTCTGGCTTCTGCTTAACTCAAATGGAACTTTCCGTTCCAGACAGTATATTTTAATTAAACTAGTTTCACTGAATTAATTTAAGTCTGCTAAATACTGAAGACAGTAATCTAATAAAAATAAAACATTTCCCATATCTGACAGTGCTGACTAGTTGTAAAACCCTTCTGTTTCACTAAGAGTTGTGCTCGTTTTGGCTGGAATAGCCCAAGGGAGATTTGTAACGCTAGATACTAAGGTTTAGTCTCTAATGAAGAAACAAAGACTTTTACCATGCAGACAGTAACTGCAGGCCAACCCAGTAATTAGTAAAACTGCGCTATAAAGAAACATTTGAAACTCCTGAAGGAGGCACCCCAGGCATTGCCAGTTTGAACTGAATGCACCCAGGCAGGTTACATGCTCTCAAGTAACATGTATCCTTAGTATTCACGAGCAGATCCACATGTTGAATTCTATCTTGTATCACCTGGTTCGAGACCAAAGCTGACTTTCCATTCGTGCCATCAGTAAAAATGACAGTGCAATTAAACACTGCCTACAGCTATAAAGCAAAACCAAGGGTCACGTATATCTCAGGAAATATATTACTCACTGACAGTATCTGAGATCATTTTGGACTCTGTAAGCTTTACTAAGCTGAGTATTTATACCACATCACTGACAAAGGCCTTACAGGCCAGAGTTTTTGTTTTTGTTTGGGCTTTTTAAGACTTTGCATTTGACCATAATCTTAGACAACCACAGCTACAAGAAGATACTGATTTAAAAATATTATTTCATACACACACACAGTGGTTACCTTCAAGAACACAGCCATCTATATTTAAATGGAAGTGTTAAAAAAAAAATCATGGCTTTAAGTAGATGTGCTCGATTTGCAGTTATCTTCCACTTTCAGCTAAATATATAGGGGAGGAAGCTGTTCAAGTGCCGCTGATTTGACAAACTTCCTGGCAGGACTTACTTTCAGTCATCGCCATTTAAGCCCTCCAGAGAGAGGGAGGGGATGAGAATGCATGCAGGAGAGCAGAAACGGGCTGCAGAGAAAGATGTGTGAGCAGTTGCTGTTACTGCCAGAATTGCTAGCAGTGACATTTAAATGTCAGGATAGCTACTGTCCTATCAGAAAAGATCAGAGCAGCCACGCGGAAAAAAGTCCCTGACTTCAGCTTCTCACACAATTGCACAGAACCTCTTTGTGCCAGTGCTTGAGCGCACAAAGCATCTCACAACACACCCGGGGGTAGTCACAGGACAGCACTATCGGTATACTCTGGCGACAAGGAACCAAGCACGTAAATACGCACAGAATGACGACAGATGGGAATTTACAAGGGCTAGAAAATACTGAGATTGGGCTCTGCCATCTCCCTTCAGTTGAAAACAAAACAAAACACCTAAACCCATCCCCACACATCTGTCTGCCTAGGTTCAATGGCAACAGATTGCGAAGGTGAATGCGAGTTCTCACGCGCTGAAGGTGTTGTTTTATACAGGGGTCTATGCTTTTTTTTTTCCCTCCTTTTCTTCATTCTCTTTTTAGATTCCTCACAATTGTGCCCACACGATTCTGATCTGGGTCAGAGCTCCTAACAGCCACTTCCATAATCCTGTCCTGAAATACTTCCAAAACTCACATTTCGATACTCCTTATATACAGGCAGAGTTGGACTTCTCTCACACCAGCTGCTCTGTGTGCTTAACAGATGGAGACTGGCGTATTTTATACTACTGATGGTCAGTTCACTGCAGAACAAGGAAAAGAAACTAAAAATGGAGGTGACAGTTTTTGCTTAATGTGTGCCCACAAAAATCTAAAGAAAATTCAATTATTGAATTTAAATGTAATACAAAAAGCAAATTCTACTGTAAACACTTGACAGTTTCTCACAAGAGCTACAAATCTACGTGTGGGAATCCATCACCTCAAAAAGATCTTTTGCTCTAAGTTGTCCACGGAACCCCGGTATGTCCAGAGCTGTATTTGAACTAAGGATCACCACGAATCCCTTGCTCTCTCTTACAGAGCTGATCCACTTGACATCTTTTAGCAATTCTACTAGAGAGGAAGGGGGTAAAAAAACCCCAAAATAATAAACCAAACCCAAGACACACTTTTTCCCCTGAAACAAAACCAAATGTCCCTGTTGTTATACTGGAATGAATGTCAGGAAAGAGCAGAGGAAAATAAATCCCTACCAAATCCTCATTTTCTCAGAAAGACAAGTAAATCATTCTAATTGTGTTTTCCTCCCTTTAAATGGGGAAGGGAATTTAATAAAAAGCAGATTTGCACTGAAATCTAGTATGGTGAAGTTAAATGCAGTAGTATTTATAGAGCCCTTTGAAATGCATTACAATACAAAAAAACCCAAAAACCCTACAGAGAGGCCAGATCATTATTAAGACTGTCAGGTAAAGGTTTCTTGGCTCAATACAAAACTATTCTGAATCATAGTGGTCACTGATTTAGTACCTCTCGTTGGCCAACACATGCCTTTAGAACAAATGACACAGACTGTGGGTAGGAACAAGTTCATCCGGCCACTAGACGTCCCTATTCCTCCTCTGAAATGCAGCTGTGAACGTTCACTTTTCTCACTGCAAGAATGGAGCTATAAAAAGGAAGACATAAGGAAGTGGCACTTTCCCCAGATATAGCACATTCTTAATATCCCATTCATGAATGAAATCAATGTCGCAATGCTATCCAGATGCAACTGGCAACTGAGACTGAAAACGCCTGCTTCTGTATTACCCGAATTGCAGATTCCCAAAGGTGACTGGCATGGAGTAATTCTACCGTAAGTCCATAGCACCCTAGGAAGGAGGCTCATTGTCCAAGCATATACCACTCTACAGTAACACTGGATGCTAATTTGAGTCTTGTTATTTCCTTGGTTCAGATACTTTTCAGACACAGACACCCCGTGTTTTGAAAGATCAGGCTCAATGCTTTGACTCCTTTCAGTTGCTTAAAAGCAACTGAGTGTTGGATGACTGGAAAAAAAGGAAGCAGATTAGTTATCTCCCTCCCCCCCCCACACACACACCAAGATTTCTTTGGTATATAACAAAAATAAACCTCCCACCAGAGACCTTGGAAATCTTGAACCTTTTTTCCCTCCAGGAGGATTTATTACTTTCCAATGAGCGGCTGTTCATGTGCTTCTCCTTCTTGTTCCTATTCATAGGATCAGATCCTGACTAGCATGCACAACCTCAAAAGAAAAGAAAGACTGAATACAAACTGTTTAAAAAAATAGCCTGTTAAAAGTGTAAGCTAACTAGGGGTTGACACTGTATCCTATCACACAAGTAGTTGTCTTCAAGAGCCTTACCTTATAGGCGACACTGTTTGAAGAGTCCACAATGATAAACAGAGGCTTTCTTGTGAAAGGGTAGAGATCTCCAGGGTGAAGACTGAAAAGAGAAAGGGACGATTCACAGAGCACTAGAACTGCTGCAAAGCTGTAACAGTGCACATGCTTCTCAGACACATGGCTGCCCATGTCCAGATAAAAAGCAAGCATATTCCTCATGCCCCAGTCCTCAGATTCATCCTCAGAGAGTAACTGAAAAACTAATTTGGTATTCTCTATAACACGAGCTATTAGATCTCTTAGTAGTTCTTTCCCAACAGGAGATGTTTATCTTCTTGAGAAGCCATCCAGCATTAATTTGAATTTTTCCAGTAATACAGAATTTACATTAAGTCACAGTAATACTTTTTGAATGTTTAAATCACCATTTAAAGTTGCATATTCATTTCTAATTGTTCAACTTCAAGCCAATCTACATTATAATGTCCTGCTCTGAAGAGTCTGAAATCAAGAGGCTTTGATGTGTTTTTCCCCATTAAAGTCAAATTCCTCTGAACTTGCTGTTGTCGCCCTCAGGAAACTCACCAGTGCATCTCCTTGTAAGATTGGTTTCGCTTGTGTATAGCATCCCCATTTATAATGTCCCGGTTGCTATTTGTCAGAACACCACCAAAATCATATGGACCTACACATGGCAAAAAGAAAGCTAAAATTAGCAGAGGCAACTCCCCTCTGTTATGGATTTAATGATTATGTGAAAGGGAGGAAGCAACCACGAACCCGAGAAAACTAAGTGAATCTGAACTACTGCAGTTGTAAGGAGGGGATGGAGGAACATGGAGACTTTACTAACTATGTGTTCAATTTTATGCATTTTTAGTAGTTTCAGCATCTGTCAAATAGAAGCAAGCAATACATCTTCATAACTTCTAATTTTTTTATTCGCTATTATTTCACAAACTTAATACAAAAGACCCAAATCTTGTTACACTACATAACAAAAAGATTAAAACCTGTTACACGTTTCATACCGGAAAATCAATACCTCTGTAAAATTACTGGATGAAGATATTCTAGATTCAGAATTTGATAAAATTAAGGCTAAATCAATAAAAACCCCTGTGGCCTCTCAGAATAGATGTAATACTATCATCTGCAGTTATAACACTGCAAAGCGGAGAAGAGAGAGCTCAGAGAATGAGTATGCTTTTAATATTCCTAGAAAGGACAAAACAGTTTTAACCAGATTTCAAATCTGCAGCAAAGGTTTATTTTTTAAGATTTCAAATACAGAACTCACAATTTTTACATGCACACTGCCTGAACATGTGTTCTGAAGGTAAGCTAAAAAAAAAAAAAATAAATACTCTGCTAAGTTTGTGCAACTGAGCTACCCACCTGTCTGATGGAGAGCAAAGATGGAAGTAATGGCTATAAAAAATATCAAATCCTACAGACAAAAAATGTGCTAGAGATACCAGGAAATATTTCTGCCATCGAGATGGGTATGAAGTGTCACTAGCATTAGTAAAATAAAGTATTAAGATTTCCTCATTCTGTTATACATTTGCAGGGTTGGTTGACTCATATTTGGCCACCAAATGCATTTTTTTCAGGTTTGGATACATAAGACACCTTTCCATTTTAAGGGAAGCTTTGGGAATACAAAATTAGGAACAGAACATAATTAATTTAGCACTGTTAGAAATGTCTTGCATGATCTGTCAAACAAACAGTTTACAGGCGATAAACAGTGCAACTTGCAGCTGCTCTCCTTTTTAATAAGGTAGAACTTTTTGGTCTGTGCAGACTACACTACCTTATTAAAAGAATGCAGCTGTAATGGGATTCATTTAATGAAAACCAAAGTCTGACTATGCAGCTCTTCAGATGACAGAGCCTGGATGCCTCTACAGTAAGGTATTAAGCTGAAACAATACATGCAGTGAAGTGGACGTAACACAGGCTTTAAAGAACATGGTTTAGTTAGAACCTATCGCCAAGTTGCAGCAAAAAGTAAAATGTTAAAAGTATTTAAAAAAAATCACTGCCACAACCCACAGCTGACAGGGATTTTTTTTTCCTTTAACATTTTGAGAGCTCTATAAATCATGCATTGGGATGGACAAGGCATGCATCTTATAAAGGAATGCAAGTCTCAAACAGATGAGGCATGTACAATATTTAGGATGTTAAAAACTTTTTTTTTTCCCTTAAATTATATAAACAGATCTTTTCACTGTGTTTACTTCAGCCAACCAGTTTTCAGCTTTTAGATTGCAGCTGCATCCAAATATTCTGCTAAGTTGCAAAGAACAGGAAGATGAGGTGAGGGGAATTGCCAAAAATCATGAGAAGGGCTTGAATTGTCAGGTTAACAAGCGTGCAAATAGAACAGTCCCTGCAGACACTTCAGCCCTTTTACCACCCATCTCCTGACCATATGTTCTCATAGTACTGGAGATGGGAAAGAATCACAAAGTGCCATTTAGCCATTTTATTAACTTTGCGCTGATGCATCAACTGAGCCATGTGGTCTTCAAAATTGTTGAAGCTTTTAATACTTCAGATGCATCAAAAACTGGGTATGTCCTTTGAGAAGGTCTCAGGTTAATGCACACTAATTAAAAACAGAGGGATTAACTATTGTTTGGGGGGAAAAAAGGCTATCTTACTAAGTAGACAGGAGAATAAAATTGACTTGTCTTTTAAAAGGAGCTTTGTGACATCTTTCTTGGTCACTTGTCCTGGAACATAAAGAGAATTCAAGCCCTGTTCATGACAGGGAGCATTCCTTTATTGTACCTTCACTATCCGAACGACCTGATGGAAACACGCCCGTGGCAGACAAGTAAATCAGCAGTACACTGTTTGCAGGCAGCTCCTGAAATTCAAATAAAGAGAAGAACAGCAAAGAAATAAATGTATATGTTCACTTTAAAATTCAATCATCACATTGTCATTTAAGATGTGCTACTCCTGCTTCTGGCTTCCCTTCACTCTGTTCTTCCTATGTGTATATACCCCTCCCCACCACATACACCCCTTCAAATAGGTGAGTACACAGAGTACAAAAATGGAAACTGATGATACGTTCATGCTTTTTTTTTTCCCCACACAGACCTCTAGGCTGATATCAGAGGTTCAAGCAGCACTAAAATGCATCTGCTTCCACATAGACTCTCTCGCTATCTAACCAGATGAGGCTTTCCAAGATATGGAAACCAAAACCTGCCAAGATGCACGCAGACCCTAACTCCCAAACAATTCAGGATCCTAAAGGAAGTTCTTTGTTTCCAAATACCCCAGAGTCTGCAACATCTGCCTCTTCTCTCGACCCTTCTCAGCTGGACAACTAGCACAACACATCCAGTTTTCTGTATAGACCTGTAAAAGAAATCTATTTTCCACCTTTCTAATGGGCTGTCTGCATGAGGAAACAGATGATTTTAATTTCTGCTGAGCATGCAGGCACCCAAAATTCTAAGTAGTGAAGATTAACTTCCTTCACCTTGCCAGCTGTTTCTTTACAGTTGTTTCTTGAAACAAACGGAAACTTGTTTCATTATAGGATCCGTATTCTGTTTTCACTACTAAACCCTAAGTTGTTGACTTGTACAGGCATAAATAAGCATAATGAGCCCCACAACTTACTTTAATTAAAATAAACACAGCAACTGTATTAAGTCTACAAAGGTATACATTACTTACATGGAAGAGAGTAGTGGGTAACAAAATAAGACAGGGAGATAAAAATATGTCAGGTGCAGGAGAGATACAATTCAAAGGGGATACAGAACTGGAGACCCACCAGGTGTAAAGTCCTTAAGGACAACAGTTTCTTGACATACTTCCCTGATTTTGGATTGGGTTGGGCACCACACGAAGTAGAAGAATACTCTTAAGATTTTTCTGTTCTCCAGATCTCTTATTTCAAGTAATATTTCCTATCTAATATATATATATAGGAAATAGATAAACTTTATATAGGAAACATTTATTTTTAT